ATGTGATGCAATGATAACTCGAGATTTCTTTGAAGATGAACATGGTCATGACAGACTGTTCAAGCAGCCTTTCTCAAAAAATATATGTATGTGTGCACTAAAGTACTTTTTCATGCTGTCATGTCATTAAGAGCACTGAGTTCATAATGTTTGGCAAAGCCATTATATATGTTAAATTGTGTATATTTAGGCAGCATATTTTCATTTAAACAGGTTTGGTTAAATAATTCATGACAATTAGTTTTCATTGATCCTTTCTATTCACGGATTAGTTTTTTTGGCAGACTTAGAAAATTGAGTAAGAAAATTTTTTCTTTCAAATAGTTTTAATTTTCTCAAGTACTTTCATTCTCATCTGAGACCATCTTCAGGGGATTAAGTTATCTGTGAGTAGGTATATGTGGTTCTGTGAATTTAAAACATTTCAACTGTTCATTTTTTTTTTTATTGATTAAGCAGCGTTCTAAATTTCAAAGTTCACATGTTCTTTTGGGTTTTTTCTGTATAAAGGAAGTAACATTTTTTTTATGCATGTGTATATAATTTTTTTGTTTTTTGCTCATATGTATATAATTTTTTTTCTAATAAGCATTTAAGGATTTTGTTGCAATACTCATAGTTGAGTATTTATTTTGGGCTTTAACTCCCTTATATAAAAGGCTTCAAGGATTCTTAGTTTTTGCATGTTATTGTTTTTATGTAATATAGATGTATTTTCAACTAATATCTGTCTAATCTGTGAATGTTGGCATGTTCTTTTCTTTTTATGTGCTCTGTTCCTTCAGGATGTAAGCGATCATGGCTCTCCACTTTTCCCAATCTCTTGTAGCTAGCAATAAGTTTTGTCCCTCTGCCACCTCCCCCGGACTAGGTTCAGTCATCCACTTGCTTAAGCCTGCTAGGTATCTCCTGTGTTCCCTTGTCTCTCTTTCCTTTTATTTGTGAGTATCAGATTCTCTAGGCCCTCCTTTCTCATTATGTATCCCAGAAATTTCATCTGCCTCTTCCTGATATTAAGTATAAGTTCCTCCTTTATTGGCAACCACCATTTTAACAATATAAGATACGCACATGACAGTACTGAAGACAGACACAGAAAAGAAATTACAAAACAAAACCGTCTAGAGAAGGTAGCAGAGGAGAGCAAGAAGAAGGGACTAAGCATAAACTACAAAAAGACAGAATGCATGCTCATCAGTAAAAGAATGAATCCGAAATGCGATTTGCAAATTGGGGATGCTAAAATCAAACAAGTGCGGAAGGTTAAATATCTGGGAAGTGTTTTGACAGAAGACGGTAAGTGTGACGCTGAGATCCAAAGACGTATTGGGATAGCCAAAGACACATTCCAAAAGCTGGGCAGAGTGTTGGCATGAGCATTCCTTTAAGTGCTGATATATTGAGCTAGGTTCAACCAAATAAAATGCAAGTCTTTTTATTAGCATCATTGTAGTAAAGCCAACTTATCTATTGACATTTTTACCAGAGATACAATCTCCTAAAGGATATTTAAATTGACATACAATGTTGGCCTTTTGCAAGATATATATTAAACAAAAACTGTTGTGGGAACCAACGGACAACTTGCCAAATCCTAAAACTTATCAACATACAGTGTCGAATAAAACCGACAATGCTGAAAAAAGAAAGAGAAAGAAAAGCTTAAAAGCAAACTTACTTACTCATTAAAGTGCTCAAAGCCCAGACTGCCTAGACCAAACAAAAAACATTTACCAACATTAAATCCTATTGCTCTAGTCGTAACTAGTTTCACACTCACATGATCTTCAAATGACTTAAATATATATCAGTGTATATGTAAATATATCTATATTTTATATATGAATAGAAAAATAAAAGAATACAAGAAGACTATAATATTCGATGAATGCCAGATAGAAAAAAAAGGTTTTATAAAAAAAATACATAAAAGACGACATATGCCAAAGTGTTTTTATATTATACTTCAAGGTCACCACCCTTTCCCCATTGCATGCCAGTCTTAACAGAAAATATGTCTACACAAAGGTCTAAGTTTCAACCCAGACCTCAAGACCCTAAAGGTTGAATTGTTCATAAAAAAAAAAAAAAAAAAAAACCCTTATTTTTCAATAACATTCCAGATTTGCAGTAACAATGGAATCTGCATAAACCCTGGAGATGAATCCCTATTTCAAAGACCAGAACATGTTTTTTTTTTCACCCTATCATTCTTTTCATGCATAGCATTTCTGAACGGTTACATTTTCGCATATAAAAGGGATTAGCTTAACTAAAAGATGAAAAACAATTCTCTCATTATAGCATATCTGAAATAGACTACCTGCAAATTCCTCCCCAGAAGCGAAGCCAAGTACCAGCATTCATAATAATAAAGAAAATAATTTCTAAATAAAAAAATATTTGTATCTTTGATGCTCATAAGCATAGACATTCATATACATATATTAAATATAATATATAAAATATAATATAATATATATATATATAAATATAAATATAAATATATATATATATATATATATATATATATATATTATATTATAGATAGATATGAATGTATATTTGGGCAGCAACTTTCTTTCAAACATATTTTATTGAATATAACAGACAAGGAAAATTTTCTAAATTTTTTATTGGATTTTCTTAGTATTTTTAAATTTTTCTGTTTGGTAAGGCAGTGTCAAAATTTTCCATAATGTCTATTGTCCCAAGCACTTTAAAGATTTTCAAGGGGTTTGTTGTTAAGTGTTAGTAATTTCTTTCAATGATTGTATTTTAAAATATTGTATGAAAGTAGCATTTATTCTGAGCCCTACATGAAGGAATGTAACTGGAATTAAAGTTTAAAAGAGATTTAGCACAATGTTTCTGTTGTTAAATAAAGCAAGATTAATACTGGTTGCCAGATGTTTTATATACAGTGTTTGTTTCACAATGAAATGTTTTCAGTTATGAGATTTATGAAGGATGAATGTTATGAAATTCAGCAAATTTTCCATACTGTTAATATATATATATATATATATATATGTATGTATATAAAATTGTTTATTTAAAAATAAAATTCAACACATACATAAAGAGTTCCGTGTTTCAAAACAAAAGAGCGAAAACTTCAATATAATTATTTGAATTAAAAGTAGTTTTTTCGAATCTATTTCAGAGAAATAAGTTATTCCAAAAAAAAAAAAAATTTTCTGAAATAAGTTATTCAAAAAAATTTTTTGCTTAAAGATGGAACAGAGCTTAATACTAATTCAATTTAATTCAAATAATTATATTGAAGTTTTTTGGCTCTTGTTTTGAAAAACACGAGAACTTTATGTAGCATGTTGGAATCATATTTTTAAATAAATAATTATATTTATGCTCTATTTTGTATTGAGCACTATTTTTTAAAAATAACAAAAATACTAAAGAACTTTGGATTATTTACCTAATGAGTTCTTTCCTATTTTCTATATATTTTTCACATATATATATATGTATGTATGTGTGTATGTATTTGGACAGCAATCAGAACTTTTATACAGGTTAACTGACAAAGTACTGCGATTAAGTTTGTTAAATTTTTCTTGATTCATACAAGTATTTTTTTTTCTGGACATAGAGAGTGTAAAAACTGTCCAAATCATCTGTGGATCCAAGTGTTTTTAACTAATGTATTAACCATTACCAATTTGCCAAATGACCTAACACTTTAGACAAGAAAGAAAAAAAGAATGAAAGACCAAAAGGCCACACCTAACTACACAGACAGAGCAAAAAATGCTTCACAACATAAACACTTAAAGGATGGCTTGAGTTGCTATTCAAGTTTTACAATCTTATGATCTTCAGACAGCTAAAATGTGTTCTAGTTGTCTGAAGATCATAAACCTTAAGTAATATATAAAACTTAGGAGATTGGTTGATTCTACTACCTTGGTTTCAACCTTTCAATATCATTAGGTGCTTTGTATCAATTGATTTACCAATGCTTTATTTTTTTTTTTTTAAATTATTAATGAATGCTATATTATTTTAAAAAATAAACAAATTCATGACATTCAGTATGATAGGAAGGGAGGAGGAGGAGGATGTGAAGAAGAAGAAAAAGAAGAAAAAGAAAGAGAAGGAGGGAGAGGAAAGAAGGGTACTGTAAATATGTGTGGGCAGGGTTAATTGAAATGCACATATTTTTTATCCAACCTCATATGAAATTAAGAGGAATTTTTTTATATGTACGCAACAGTTCATAACTTCAGGCCTTTGATTCAAAAGTTTTTTTGGGATCTGGAAATGTCATTATTGCTAACTTTTCTTGTTGGCAGAGGTTGCAGATGTCATTATGCTTGTTGTAGGGTTTTTTTTGGTTTTTTTTAAAATTTTCCAGTTTATAGTTGGATCCTTGTTTTTTTTCCTTTTAATTTCCACATATGGTTAGCTATATATTAGGGTTAGGGATGTCCCTCACCCCCGAGACACAGTCAGTATGTTGTCAATGTGTGATGTGTTGAAAGTTGGTTTCTTCTTCTTTGTTATTAATGCTGATATTATTTTTAAACACTTTTCACATGTGGAGGAGTCTACTATGGTCATATTTCCACAACTATGTTGCTGACAGAGATTGCTTAATCTTCATGTGTGTTTAGTTGGGTAGTAATTAATGGAGCTATGGTCCAAGCGATATAAAGTAAGTCTCCTTGATAAGCATGTAGCAGTGTGCATATATATATATATATGTGTGTATATATATATATACACACACACACAAACACACAGACTAGTCAAATACCTGTCCTACAGACAGAGAAAAATAAGTTGTAATCAAAGTTCACTTAATATTTTATTAATAATAAAAATTAATTTGACAACAGACTAATTACATATCTAAATAATTTTGCATTTTTTTATTAATTTTAATTCAAAAACAGATTAATTCCACTTACTGAAATAAATATTTTCTTCAATTAAATACAAAAAGAAACTTATTTTATTTCCATCTTTTTCAATTA